TCTAGTGGTGGAAGAGTTAAATTTGTGATCGGTAAATTTATTGATAGTTCGCGCAATCGTAGACTTATTTACAGTAGTGATAGATTTATTTTTAAGTGATAGACTTATTAGTAGTTGTGGTAGAGTTATTTTGTGATCGGTAGACTTATTGATNGTTCNCGCAATCGTAGACTTATTTATACNAGTGGTAGAGTTATAATATGTGGTAGATTTATTTATTGTAGTGGTAGATTTATTCAATCTTTTCACGTCTTTACTAAACAACCTTTAGTTGGTAGACTTATTTATAGTAGTGGTAGATTTATTTATAGTAGTGGTAGATTTATTTATAGTAGTGGTAGATTTATAATATTTGGTAGATATATTTATACTCATGGTAGTGGTAGATTTATAATATGTAGAATTATTTGTAGTTTATGACATTTTTACTAAGATTTAGATGTCTTTTATGACATTTGTTTGTTAAATTTTAACCTTGTTTAAGAGTTGGTTTTAGTAATTATGCCATTTTTCAAAGTTGTTCTAATAATTTTTTCTATTTTAAATCCATAAATCTCTGGAAAGAAAGACCACGTCCTAAATTCAAAGGCCGTAAGGTAAAATCAAAATTTTAACATATTCGAGAATACTATGAATCATAATATTTGGAATTTTGTATATTATATATCTGTTGTAGCATTGAATAAAATAGGTGCAATAATTCGTCGAAATTTAATATGGCCTCACCATACTCTAGTAATTGCAAAAATGAAGTCATAGTCAGAGTCAAAGCTACTCTCTGATGCTTATATTAATAAGTGCATTGAATTTGACTCAATAGTGTTGGGATTGGCAGATAACATGGCATAATATATGTGGCATTAAATATTTCATGATCTCTATTCCAACAATTTTGTCATTTTTTTTTTGTATATAACAAGGGGATGATCCAACGTTTTTTGCAGTCATAGAGTATCTCATTCACGGGGTTGTTTAATGATTATAAAATGTGATATCATTTTAAGTTTTTAACTGGCAAAATAAGAAAGTTTAAATAATTTCACATTTGAAGAAAATTGATTAGATCAGATGTGAGAAGAAAAAGGGAATAATTAACATTGTTGCAGTGCAAAGAAATAGTGTGTATATATCCCCCCAAAAAACGTGTATATAATGTAGCAATTTAATTGGTATGAGTAGCTCGAATCAAGCGTCCTTTGAGTCAAGCAATAAGGTATGAGACTATGAGTAGCTCGAAGCAAGCGTCCTTTATCAATGAAGTATGAGACATGAGTAGCTCAAATCATATGTCATATACGATTTTGGCTCATTAAAAGGTCTCCAATTCGAACAAGTAACACCATCTCTCTCTTTTTTTTGTCTACATGTGCCACGGTAGAAAATTCGAATCCGACTTTCTTTAAAAAAAATTCATAATGTTTTGTGTTTGAACTAATGCTACTATTGACAAAAAAAAAAAAAACTAATGCTACTAAAACAAAAACTTCATTGAGAAATATAGAGTATATACATACACACACACACACTTACTGCGGACGTAATCAGGTTCGGTCCAAATTAATTAAAATACTAGATCCAGTATTTTTTGTTATCCACTTGAATAGATAATTCTAAGTTTAGTGGGTTTGTACTTTCAACTCTTGTGAGATTCCTTGTACCCCGTTATGGGTTTACTTAATCTCTTGAATAATATACTCGAATTGGCAACAACCAACAAACAAGAAAATAAATAAAGAATAGATGGTTCTAGCTGTATTAGTGAACCAAAAACTCGAAGATTAGTTTTGAACTTTTGATTTTTCTTATTTTAAAAGGTTTAGTAACCATAAATGATCAAGACTAGAAGTGGTTTGCTAATGTTTTGAGACAAATCTGCATTTCCAATTCCATATGGAATGGGTTTAATCCGTGCATCCATGATTTTCCATGCATCCACAATTTCCATATAATTGTGTTCACGTTTATAGTTTGTACTACATAAAATATAGTATTACTTCACGTTATATTCATCCATGTC